TCTACAGTCTGGCTCCATTTTAGTTCATTGATCTTGTATCCCATTTTTCATTGATTCTTATAAAATTTATTGACTGTCTATTCTACCTTGACACTGTAAATGTGCATTTGCCAACCACATACGATATTAAAACTCACTTATTGAACACTCACATTGCCAGGAAATGCTGTGAGTGACTTTCATAAACTCACTTCTTAAATCCTCAAACAACCTTCTGAGATTCATACTTCTATGGAATAATTAGCTCCATTTCTTAGATGAGGAAAGCAAGGCAGAGAGAGTAGAAATTCTTTGGCTGAGAATACCTAGTTGGAACCTAGAAGAGTCTGCATCTCAACCTCTACTCTATATTGCCTCTGATAGGAAGTAGACTTTGTATCTTCAGGTATATCATGGTTTTCAATCTTCTCATGTGTGCCAATGTTCCAGTTTGAAACAGCTACACTTTTATCTGCCTAGATGATTATTTCTTACTGTGGATATTCAAAACAGACACTAATCTGCTAATCCAAGGTGAAGCCATCTCTGACACTCCTACTCACTGTGATCTTTCCTCCTGCTAGCTCAGAGCATTTCATGTTTGCATCATTCAGTTCAAATTCAAGCACACACAATTTTCTGATATTTTGCTTTGTTGTTTAACTCTCTGATACACTGCAAGTTCAAGGAAGACCAAGCAAACTGGTATATTTCTGCATGTCATTCATGTATGTAGCACAGGATTGTGTATGTAATATGCATTTACAAATGTTCCTTGAATGATGTTAAGCTCAGTCTCCAAAGGAAGCTTTTCCATTAGTGATTATATCTGGCCACAAAATTATGCCTGGCTATTAGCACTTAGTAACAGTGTTGTCTTTATGTTTACTCTTTTATCAGAATGTCTTTCCTCCTCCCCTCTCCTCAGACTTGATTAACTTTTACTTATCTCCTAAGGCTTAATGTAGTTCTCATATTTCCAAGAAGCCTCCCATGACATGGATTTCCAGTTGGTCATAGGTTATCTTTTGTATTTCCATAAAATCTGATTTATTCTTCTCTGTCACATGTCTACTGAAGTTTTTGACTTCAGTATCTGGTTTTACTTCTCTAGACTGTGAACTTCTGGAGGACAAGGAGTGTATCTTACTTAGTTTATGTTCCTACTGCTTAGCACAATGCAGGTATATAGAAAATGATCCATGAATATTGACAAATGAATGAATGAATGAAAACAAAGAAATACTAATATGTTTTTAACAGACTGCATGATGAGAAGTAAGATACAGAATGTATCCATGGAAACAATATAAAAATATCAGTAGTTCTATTTTACAGTTAGCCAAAAGCTTCCTAATCAGCATGAAATAGTTAAAAACATAGTATATATCTGTAAATCCAACTTAATTTTTTGACGGGGAAGGATGCTGGAGATGCTCATGCCACCCAAGTGTTTGACCACTGATCTGAACTCACAGCTCCCACTTTAATTTTGAAATCTTACAGTGTACTAGAAGTTGCCACCTAGAAAATTATACTTCCAATTCACTAACATCCTGTGCACTATGCCAGTTAATTCTGGTGATTGGGACTGTATCTCTGGCAAGCCAGCTTAGCTCTATTCCACAAATGGTTTGCCTTCAAATCATGCAGGGGCCATTTACTTCCTCACTCTCTATTCTTAGTCAGGATTGAAAGGGTGGCAAGCATTTCTCCAGCGTCTACTTCATGAGTTGGATATTTTCCAATTAGCAGTGAGGGGGAGACAAATCTAGAAGATATTTCCAAGCATGAGGTGTGATCGTCTCAATTAATATACTTACTGTGCTGACAGCTCTGGCCCAAACCACCATCTATCCTACTTGGGGACTGTCCATTGTTCTCTAGTGTATGATTAGCAGATTAGCTATCATGTAAGAAGCCAGGAAAATGAACTCCCAGTAAGCCCTTCCAAAGCAAGAGTAATTCATTACCCAGCCTGATTTCCACTTAAAATGTACTTTAAGCACACTTCCAACTACAAACCCTAAATCATCCTGTGTTCACAAAGTCCATCATTTTTTATTTTATTGCATGGCGTTGGCGTGACATAATCCCTTGCAGAGCATCTCAGAGTGCTTTACAGATCAATAAATTACTTACCTGCACAGTTGAAGCAATGTCTGCAAGGCCAGGGCTGACATTCTGCAGGCAGCCTGTCCTCCATGAAGCAAGTAAGGCTGTGTAAGTGCCAAGAATGGGCAGAAACAGAGACCAGAAAAATGTCTGAGCAGGGGGAATAGTGCATGAGAAGGGAATGCTCCAGATAAAGCTCTGTGAATAAAATATATCAGGGTTTTTTTCTGCAAGATCAGTTTAAATTATTCTAGAACTAAAAGAATTTAGAAATTTGGGGCTGGGGTTTTGGCTTAATGGTAGAGCACTTGCCTAGCCCTAGTACATGTGAGGCCCTAGTTTGATCCTCAGTACCACATATAAATAAATATAAGAAAAAGAACCATTTACAACTAAAAAAATAAAAATAAAGAATTTAGAAATTTGTAACTGTCAGAAAATCAGAAATCCAACACTCAGTCATTAACTCATCAATTTTCTGTCTTAGAAGGTCCAATTGAGCTTTTAAAATGATATAATCATAAATTACAATATTACATCTTTTAAGAGACCCACTTTGAAAAGAGTCTATCTCCAACCCTCAGCACATCCATTTTTCATTAATTTCTGTTCCACCAAATATCTGTGAAAGTTCAAGCACATCTTTGTGCATACACATGCATACACTGTATGTACACATGTATATATGCACACACACATGCACACTGTCTGTATCTAAAGCTAATTGTGGAATTTAAGTCTAATACTAATTAATCAGGGATTACCCTATGCAAAATACCCTATTCAAGACAGCAGAAAATTAAGCAATGAATAAAACCTTTATTTAACATTTTCTATTTAGATAATTTATCATATAGAAAGAAGGGTGAGACAAATGTAACATAAGGAAGTTTATTTTGAATGTCATAAGGAAGATACTTCAATGCTATGGAATCCCTAGATGCCCTGGAAGATTATATGGAAGGGGTAGTAGTTCAATCAGGACTTGAATAATTTTAATATATGTAGTCAGAGAGAAGCATGTTAGTGCTCACATGCAAGGCAAGGGACAAGAAGACCAAAGTGAACCACATGCTGTGAACCATGAGAACTCTCATTTGGGTATAGGACATGAACAGAAGGAAATGATGGAGGAGGGACAGAAAGAGCACTGAGAGAACTTATCTTTGCAATATCCCATTTTCTTGTTGGCAAAGTTCTAACATAAGTAGAAATGGGTAAGTAATGTTTCAACTAGAGCTGAGACCACCATTGGGGTTTCCAGAGAAAACTGATTTTATTAAGTGTGTAGTTTTGAAACAAGAAATAAAGTCATCGTGGAGCTTCCCTTAGTTCTCCAGTGAATCATGTTGTCTACTGGGAATGCCATATGCCATGGAATTGCTGAGAGTGGTGACTCTGAGGAATATTGATTCAAGGAAAGAATATAACACAAGGAAACATAAGAGCATTTGATGGAAAGGTCACTTAATTGGTCCAGAACTAAAGTGTCAATCCTGTGTTGGTATGACTGAAATAAAGTGTGATAATGATCCATCTCTGAGTCTTTTAGGAATATGAAGCAGGTTGGGAAATTTGTTCCCTTGAGTAACCATTATAATTCAATTCTATAAATATTTGTAAAGCTTTTACTGTGAATGCAAAAGGAGGAAGACATGGTTCAGACCACCAGAAAACTCATGGTCTACTTGATGCTAAGCAAATATCTAGAACAGTGGGAAAAGTGTCTACAAGTGGCATTTGGGAACTCAATAAATGGAATTTTTAATTTACTTGACTTATAAACTATTTCACACATTTAGACAAATGAGCAGTCACATGGAGAACCAAATATCACATTGACTAGGAGTAAAGCTGATCCTGCACAAGGCTCAGAAGTGTAGCAGAAAATGAACTTCTAAGAAAGGGCCTCAGAATAAGACCAACATACACAGACAATGGCTAGTACTTACCCTGTTTCCTGTGGACTGCTGCTTCCTAATACAAAGAGTAGGAGTAGCACAATAGCCTGACTCCAAAACAAAAGACCAAGAAAGTAAGAGCCTTGTTTCCAGCTTCATTCATTCAGATAAACTTTTCTTCTCTTTGGGAAGATTAATTTAGGGGAGAGAGAGAGATACTAAGCAAGTTTGTTAACAGCAATGATATCTTTGATTCTTCATTGAGGGTTTATGAAGTTTAATAGGACAGTGGGCAAAGAAACAACATTAAATTTGAGTTGTTAAGGAGGTCAAAGATGTGCAGAGGTAGTGATGGCTGTGACAAAGAGAGTGACATTTGAATTGGACCATAAAGTATTACTGGGAGTTGTCCAGGAAGGCTGTGAGAAATGCCATAGATACACATGCATGAGGATCAGAAAGGATGTGATGTATTGGGGGTCAACAAATAGTAAGAAAAGGTGGAACCACTAGAAATGATAATGGAAACATATGTTGAAACTTGGTTCTGAACAGCTAAGTTTGCTTGGGTAAGGGTCCTGTTTATGATCAGGTAGGCAATGGAGCAATTCAAGCTATTTAGGCAGAGATGTGTTATGATCAGAATTGCATTATGTAAAGACATCTCTGAATGCAGTGAGACAAATGGCTCTTGGATATGTGTTGGAGATGGGTGGGGGTGAGAGTGAGATGGGAAGGTGTAGGCTAGAAAAGTAGTTATTACAGTATTACAGTGGAATTTATTCTCATTTGGACTCTGGCTTTATGTTTAAATAGGAAGAAATGGAAGTTAAATTCAAAGTAAGCCATTTTTTATGTTTAAGATCATTCCTCTAATTGCTTAGCATTACAACTACAGTCCATATGTTTCAGTTTGGGGAATATTCTATCAAGTGTCATTTTAAGACAACAAAGAAATGTGTCAGCTGGATTTTTATGTTTCTTCTACCTGTTTTGTCTCCACAGTGTCCCCCAAAATTGTAGAGATTTCTTCAGATATCTCCATTAATGAAGGAAACAATATCAGCCTCACCTGTATAGCCACAGGTAGACCGGAGCCTACAGTTACCTGGAGACACATCTCCCCCAAAGGTAAGAGGAGCAGTTTGGTGCATTGTATCTTGAGAGGAAATGGGAGACTTGTTGGATTTGGACAGGAGGTTATGGTGCTAGATACTGAGTGCAAGGGTGTCAATTTCTGGTACCCAGCTAATAATGCACTCTTGGCTCTGCAGAGGATATTGTTCTTCAAGGCAGCCATGTCCTTCAAGATTTTAGAAATCATATTGAGTATCTCTCCAGGCCCCTGGGAAATTGATTCCAGTTGTCTGTGGCTGAAATAGTGGTTCACATGTTCTGGGTTAAATTTATATGTCAAGTTTGATGATGGAAGGATTTGCTTTGGTGGCATTATTCTTTCAGCTAGTTGCTTTAAGAGAAAGGAAAACATGAACACATAATGATAGATGTGAGGTTTAAGTGGCCACATTCCTAAAAGGAAAATCTGCTTGTTTGTGTCTCTTCAGAATTGCCAAAAATCTGGTCATTAGTTGTTTTTGTGGTTTTGTTGTTGCTTTACTCTGACTGATCCTAGACAACAAATATAACTTAATATGTGGCTAAATTACAAAATTCATTTTATCTCAATGTTTAGATAATTAAGCTAATTTTTCTCTGGGAACAAGGAATATAAAAGCATTTCACTAAATCTTAAATATTTACTGAGTATTACAGTGGTCTATGCTCTGTTTTAGGCACTAGAGGATTAAGTCATAAACCCAAATTGACAAATTACTGTTCTCATCAAATCACATTTTATGTGATAGATTACCAAAACAAATGAGTAGACAATATACCAGGTGCTGATAAGGATGAGAAGATAGAGACATACATTGACAGAATGGCAAGGGGTTCCAGCAAGGAAGTGTTAAATCTGAGACAAGACTTGAACAAAGATCTTTAATTCTATTTTTTTGTATCACTGGTTATTGTGAAATGTATGTATATAATCACAGATATCTATCTGTGTATGCACGCTTTGCATAGTACTGGTTTAAGAATTGCAGAAGTACCATGGAGGATATTTTCTTGTCGCAGATTGAGAACCCCAAAAACAAACCTTGAGATTGTTATTGTTGGTAAGTAATAATTTTGGGAGGTGCTCTTGGGATCGACTCTTGTGGAAAGGGAGAGACGGAAGCAAGATTGGGCAGAAGGACAAGTTGAGTTGTGATGCGGTTCAATGGAACATCTCAGCTGCCCCTATGGGGAGTCCTAAAGCTAGGACACTTTTTAGAAATATCCTCTATTGAGGCAATGGAGCTGGCTCTTTACAGCAGCACAGCAGTCGGGTGTTGAATGTAGGCTATTCCTAAAAGGGCTGTAACCTTAGGCCAGGTGTCTGTCTGAAAGCAAGACAAACCCCATTATGAACTATTAGGACTGTCAACCAGCAGTTAGTTCTTCTCCAGAACATGGGTCCTCAATTCCTGAAGGTGACATCACTTTATACTCGGACATTTTAAAAATCTAGAGTAGAACTGCAGTGATTTCCGCATACTGAATATCCTTTCTCTGACAGTAACAGTATGCTATGATAGATGTTCTCAGAGAAGGTGAGAAGATTTCAGTTTGAGTTGTCCTGAATTCTTGAGTGTTGTCCTATGCCACCATTCTTGATGATATTACTGTGAACAAAGGGATTGGTGAGAGCTACTCATGTCTCTGCCAATCTTTCCTTTGGAAATGACTTTATATGTGGATGGGCCCAAAATCTGGGAGGATGCTCAGCTGTGCATGAGGTCATTAGGGATAAAGAAGGGCCTCAGGGCACTTCTGAAGAAGGGGCCATCCGAATGGACTGACTTTCTGAGTCCATAGTGCACAACATTCATCACAGCCTAATGCCGAGTCCCTAGTGCTATGGGATGCCAGGGCAGGCTGTGCCTGTGGAATCAGCAGAACATTTATCATTTGGATAGAATTCCTCTGCCTCATGCTAAGAGACTCTGTCTCCTGTCTGATGTCTTTTTCAACCCATCCTCAGGCTAGTCAGTTCTTTGTCCTTGTCTCGGTGTCTGCCACATCTCTTTCACACATCTCCTTGTGCCCTGCCCTTTCATGCCTACGTCTCCCCTATAGTTTTTGTTCTGTACCTCTCTTTACTCTCACAGCTGCCTACATTTTTCTGCTTTAATTTCATTCCTTTGCACTTTTTTTTCTTTCCTCTCTTCCTCTGTTCCATCCAACACCTTCTCTCTTCCTTATGGTCTCATGTTATCTCTCCTCAGTATTGAGACTCTTTCCTTCATCTTACAGATATTCATGCTGTTTTGTCTTGAGGTCTTTTTTTTTTTGTCCCCTGTTGTAGACAACTAGCAGATTTCCTTCCCCAGGGGACTTTCACCTGAGCCTGGGCCAGATGCTGCCATTTTACTGAGGTTTTAGCTACTATGGAAACAGAAGATGGATCAAGGGGAGAGGAACTGAGTGATCAGAATCTATCTGCAGCTTAGAGTAATTTAGATGAACAGCTTTGTCCAGATACTGGGCCCAGATTAGCTATCCAAGATTCAGGATGATGAGACTTGCCAAGCAACAACGAATCACCTCAGAACTCACCAGGGCACAGTGTTTCCTGTGACTGATTATATTTAGAGATCAGAGATGTCATTGGGCTGCTGCCAAATCTGAACTGAAGCTGGAGACCCTTAGCAGTCAGGCCTTCATCTTTCATCACTAAATATTTCCAAGATAGTACTTACTTTAAATAAATTAAGACAAGTATGGGGTTCTTTGGAGTGAAGGATATTTACCTTCAGCAAGGCTCCAAAGGCAGAGAGCTACTGTCATCTTTTGTCTCATTTTGTGAAGGTAGATTGTGGTTCAGTCAAGATCATTTTTACACACACACTAAATTCTTGAATGAATATCCGATTGGAAAACCCTGATGGCTTCATTGAATGTTTTCCCTGAAGACTGATCTGTTTGTTCTGTACATTCCTGAAAAATCATGGTTTTATCCATCATAATTCATATGGTGCTACTTGTAAAACTCATAATCTCTTTCGAATGAGTATTTCTAGTTCTGAGCACCTTTTGTGTGGGAAAAGGAATATAGTAATGTCAGCCACTATTTCAGTAGTGGGTCATGCATTTGATGTAGGGAATCTTGGCAGTGGGAAAGGAGGTCAAGAGGTCTCGCCTAGGCTTTTCCATCAGATGGAGAAAATACCAGTTTTCCATAGAGAGCATGGAGAGGACGATAGGACCTCCCAAGCTACCTCTTGAAATGCCATTGATTATAATAAGTAGTTATTTCTGGCATTTGTCATGCCTTTTTTGTTGTTGTTGTTGTTTGTTTGTTTCTATCATGGACTTATCACTCCTAGAGTTCAAGGATAATAGTGCACTAACTTTTTAGAGATGCCTATCTTACCTAGAATATCTATTTTGCAAAATGCAAATGTTGTTTGCACCTGTGTGGGCCTTGGTCTTTTCAGGGGGAAATAACCCCCATCTCATGTTCTTACAAGAAAGAGCCATCTCTATCTGCGTAGGGTTTTACTGGCCCCAAGTCCAAGTTCCTGTAAGTGTCAGTTAGCATGGGGCTCCTGGCCTTGAGGAACTCTGGGGGAATCATTGAATCCTCTAGAAGCATTTCTCATTCAGAAGTCTGTTCTTTTGTCTTTTATCTTTAACGCATGAATGTATTTTAGCACAGTCCTTAAACTCAAGGCTTAATATCTCTACTAGAGTACCCTTAATACTGCATTACTCTTCTCAGTCTTTTCTGAGTAAACAGAAATATGATCTTTTTCAAAGTATCCTACAACACGCAATGCAGGAACTCACTCTTCATAAGAAATAATTCCCCAAACTCTGTCACCGGTTTCTTTGGGGTTGTAAAAGCTTTATGCAAAGCCTGAGATTCCTATATGGTCCCATTCTTGGGAGCACATGATGAAGCTTGGATGAAGGAGTCAGTCCAATCACTAACCTGGGGTATCTCACACATTTAGAATCTCAAGTCACTGAGTGGCCTGATTGAACTCTCTCAGCCGTACAGTTACCTTCACCTTTTTCTCATCAAAAAAATAATTGGCCTCCATAATCTCTTTTAAGCTGCCTAAAGGACATTCATACAAAAGTATTAATTGGGTGTTCACTCTGTGTCTTTGTATGTTGCATGTGTAACTTGCTGTAGATATATACAGGGGCATATACCCAAGGGTTTATCTTGATTTTCAGAGAAGACTTTGGACTTGGACAATGGTGGAACTGTTAAGACTATAGGGACTCTTGAAGATGAACTGAATACATTTTGCATTGTGTGATTGACACAAGGAGAGCCACGGGTGGAATGTTATGTTCTGCTTCATCTCAGGTCTAGAGCAATGATGTTGGCTGACCATGGAATAAAACCTCTGACACCATGAACCCAAAGTAAACTTATCTTCCTCTTGTTGCTGTCAGGCATTTTAGTCACAGTGGCAAAAAAATTGACTAACACATGGGGACTTGGGGATAACACCAGGAACTGTTTACAGGGAATTCTTCATTCCTGAATCATTTGCATTATCCTGTCTCATGAGTTCCTTGAGATCAGGGTCTCTGGGTCACTTACCTTAAATTTTTCACATTCTGGCATGATTCTGGGCACCTACAAAGCATTCAGGAAATAGATGTTGATTCAGCCAATAAGCCATGATATTTTCCAATTCCCCAAAGTGTCTTGCCTGTTCTCCCCATGTGAAGATTCTGATCCTTGAGGAATTTTCCTCCACTTTGATATTTGCAATGAAGACCTGGTATGTTTCCTGCTGAAACTCTCTGCTGGCAAGTCTCCAGGACATTTTTTTCCCCTCATCTTCACAGGTTTTCCAAGCCCTTCCTGCATCCCTCAGAAGGGAACCAGCTGTGGCAGGACTCAATTTCTGCTTAAAGGAGAGCCTCCATTTCAAGTTCATTTTTGCAAGAGTAGAAAAGGTTATGTTTTTTGCTGCTGTTTTTTTTTTTTGTTGTTGTTGTTGTTTTTTGAATGTCTCTCTGTTTTCCTCACTGCCTTATTGTCATCTCTTTCCTCAGGGGCA